CATCAACAGCTCCCTGACGGAAGTGATAAAGGAAAAACACAGACACTTGCCCGCGAACAGCTAACAATTCTTCTCTAGCTCAGGGGGATGAGGAAGGGCTAGACAACCGGCCTGATCACTTTCTACACTCCTTGAGATTATCTGGTACCAAAAGTTTCTCAGACTTTTCTCGGAACTAAGAAGATCCTTCACTTAGAGTATCGCATGGCATAAGAAATTCTCCAACTCTTTCAATCAAATGAAGTTCCCAGTTGGAATGAAATGCTCTCAGCACATCTTGGTATAGGGCTCTCTCTGTACAACATTTGCTAAGAAGGCATAATGAATGCTACAAAGTTCTAACAGAAAGTTAATTCTTATCAGTGGACAAAGTAGGGTTGTTACATTTAGCAAAATAATAATAATAATAATAATAATAATAATAATAATAATAATAATAATAATAATAATATTACATTTGAATTTCAGATAAACAACAAATTATCTTTTAATGTCAGTATGTCCCGTGTAATACGTGAGACAGACATGCTAAAAAAATTCCGTGTTTATCTGAAATTCAAGTTTAACCGGATTTTCTGTATTTTTCTTACAACCCAGGTAAAAAGCCTTGTCCAGCAGCTTGTAGACACTCTAGAGAGAGTCACCTGGCCTACAGGGGGCCATGCTTCAAGGAACTAAAAAGTTACTAGTAAGCTGGTTCTCTATGTCTACGAGTCTGTTTCTGTTCTGCAGGTAAGTTCATTTGTGTCCTTTTTTTTAGATTCCACATATAAGAAATATCATACAGTATTTTTCTTTCTCTTTCTGGCTTACTTCATTTAGAATGATAATCTCCAGGTGGTGGTGGTTTCATGGGTGCCTACATCTATCCAAATTCATCAAATTGTACATCTGAAATCAATGTGTAGTTTATTGTACAGGAACCATACCACAATAAAGGTGAAAAAAAGTTATCAGTACAGAACTCTCCTTTGGATTGGTACCTGATAAACAGCATTCATTTGACAGTGAATGTAATAGTTCATTTTAAGGATCTTCTCTGAGGATGCTTATATGTCACTAAAAAAACTTTTTTTCTTCAGTAACTGACAAGTAAATCACTTCAAACACGTGTCTCTCTTTGGGATTCAGGGATGTCATAGCACCTCCCGTCTCCGTTCCCTAAATCTAGATTTATGAACTTCCTTCTCATGGAAAGCAAGCCGCAGTCTGGTCAGGTGTAAGTGGGCGCTCCCGCTTGCAACGGTTCTGTGAATGCTACTCAGTCTTCCCGAAGGTGAGAGGAGAAGCCGTTTCCTGGCCCCGTATTCAGCGCGTCATCCTGAGCTCGGTCCCCCTCCAGATGCCTCCGGAGGAGCCTTCGTCCCAATGCCGCTGCTGAGAGATGAGCATCAGGCCGAAGGAGAAGTCCTCCTCGTGGAACAGCGACCCATCTGCAACAGTTTTATCTGCAAAGATCCCCCGCCGGGCCTAAGCGGTGTGGCCGCTTGGCTTGTTATCTACAAGAGTGAGCCTAGAGAGACGGGGGCTCTGCAGAGGGGGACGAGGAGGAGGAGCTCCGGCTGGGCGGGCAGGCCGGCCTGAACTCCACTGCTGAGTCTGAGTGCCCCGCTCTTTTTGGTCCATTAGTCAACCCCGCCCAATCCTTTCTGGGGCCTGATAGAAAAACATATTAAAACGCTCCTAAGAGCGGCTAGTGACTGGATTCTAGAACCATAGGAAGCCGCACTAGGGAGGAGGGGAAGGAAGAGGCCACGGAGAAGAGCGAGGGCGGCAGGGACGTGGCAGGGCAGACGGCTGAGCGGTGTCCAGCCGGCAGTCAGACACAGAAGCCTGGGGACACCCGGGAACCGGGGCAGGGGAGAAAGCTCAGAGGAAACACCTCAGTGGGGAGCACTCTGGTAAGTGAGACGAGACCTTCCGCACAGGGTACTTGGGGAGTCAAGGGGCGGTGGACTCTCTCTGCCCTCCCCTGGGGCCCGAGGGACATGTGAATAATCCTGCTCCCGTCAGGGGAAGTCGGACCGGGGCACTTGTGGTCCCCTGGACAGTAACCTCTAAGGAAGGAGCACGGAGGACTGAGGAGGGCTACCTCCCTGAGGGGCTGCAGGCGATGATAACGGAGGTTCAAACCAATGGTGGTTTCAAAGACACAGTGGTTACAGTCCAGGCTTCAGAGGTAGCGGTACGTTCTAGTGTGAAGTAAGCCAGATGAGAAATACCTCCAGAACACTGTCTAGGTTTTAAAGTAAAAGTAGGCATTCCTGGCCGTACGTATGGACCCTAAGGTGAAACCCATTTGATTTCCTTGTGTTGTTGGCAGATATTTCAGTCTTGATACTCCTTTATTGTTATCTGTGGTTTTAATAAACAAATATTTGGTAAAATAACCTGAATCAGATTTGAATTTAGCACTTAAAACGGGGAGAAAATATGAATCCACTGAACTGAGTAAACAGTAAGTTTTTAAAGGAAATCCCTCTTGTCTTGCAAAATGGAGCAGCACAAGGAAGCTGCTGCGGGCAGGAGGGCGCCGGCAGCTCAGCACCGCGGAGGACGGCATGCGTCTTCCCCGCGCCACGCAAAGGAGCGAGACGGAACGGTCACGGCTCTCACCGAACTTGCAGGGAAGAGACAATAAAGCACAGCTGTACGAGAGTCGGAAGAGTGGCTGTATTGGAAAGGGGACAAGAGTGATGTCAGTGAGGGCTCGGGAGGGCCTTCCAGTGGAAGGGACACCGAGCCTGAACCTTGGAGGAGGAGGCAGGTGAAGGGCACCTGCACTTGTGTGTTGGTGGGAAGGGGCATCTGGGGAGTACATTCAAGGCAGGGGCAGGAGTTGGGAGCGAGCGAGAATCCGGTATCTTCAAAGAACTGAAGTCAGCTCAGTGCGGCAGGAACGTAGGGCCGGGGAAAGCATGGCGTGAGACAATGTTGGAAAGATAGGGGCTCATGCTGTGGTAGATTTTATAAACCATATTAAGAAGATGGGACTTTATTAAAGGAGCAATGAAAAGCCACTGAAAGGTATTAAGCAAGAGAGTGATGAAATCACATTTTCATTTTAGATCACTCTGGCTGCAAGGGAGATTGAAAAGAAGCAGAACTGGGAGCCAGAAGATATTTAAGAGACCCTGCAGCAACGCAGGCAAAGAGACGGGCTGGGATACGGCACAGGCATGAAAGCAAGTGAATGCGTTCCAGGAAAATCCACAGGCAAGGCCAGGATTGGCCATGAGGCGTCAGGGCTATGGAATCAAGGACCCTGGAAACCTTTATGTTAGGCATCTGGGTAATAGGATGTGCCCTTTACAAGTGGTGTCGATTTGGCAGAGGAGGGTTGGAGGGTGACGGGAGAGGAGAAAGCAGTTCAGCTTTGGGTGTGGTATGCCCTAGGGCCCGTGGTACCCCAAGAACACATGGAGTCATCCTGAGAGGGACAGACGTGGGGCTCAAGGAAGAGCTTTCAACCAGAGACATCAATTTGGAGGAATGTATAGACATTCACTGGATTCTTGGCAATGGATGAGAAAGGAAGAGGGTCCAGGACAGAACCCCAGGAAGCACTCATTTGTAAGGGATGTGTAAGGGAAGGCGAGCATGCCGGGGAGCTGGAGACGGAATTGCCAGCGAGGCAGGAAGAAAACCAAGGCAGTCTGGACCAACAAGTGGTGATGACCAGGAGGGCAGAAAGAGCGGAGAGTTCAGAGTGGAGACTGCTGGGAATGGATCGCAGATGCAGCCACAGTAAAACTACTTCTAGTTTCAACTGGATTAGGAACTTAGTCGAGAGGCCATAGTTCGAGTCCCTTCCAGATTTAAGACAAGTGTAAGCAGGTAAACATTCAACCTCCACTGAATGTATTTCAGCCTCCCCGGAGAACATGTTCTAGTATTTTATTCCTTAAGCTGGATGGTGGGTAACTGAGTATGTATTAAGTGTTTCTGAATATCTTTCTGTGTGTCTGATACAGTTCATAATAAATGTGACATGCATATTGGTGACTGGAAGGAAGTCAGATTATTGAACAGCATGTCAAGTTATATTTCTATTTATGTAAAACTTAGATTTACATCCACAGAGATATACGTGCACAGGGAGATGGTCATTAGTTATTTCAACAATGACTGTTAGTCAGATTTAAGGTCATTTGTACTTTCTTTTTGAGCTTTTCTATATTGTTTGATTTTTTACAACGTACACAGTAGCAGTTTTCTACAAATAATAAAACCACAAAGCAAAGTATAGAAAGTTCTACCCCACATGGTCACACAGTGGGTTAAGAGGCCGTGCTGGACCCTGAGGGGAGCGCAGGGGGCAGAGTCCCACCCACATCTTCTTGTCGGATAAGCCAGACCGGGAGCAGCCGTCAGCGTTGCCCCTACAGCGGCGTTCTCACCCTTACGGGCAGAGAGAGGAGACACAAAGGGGACAAAAACCAAGGGAAGAATTCTCTTCGTGTGCCTAAAGACCCATGAGACCTACTCCGCACGCCCTCTCAGGACAGTGGCATCCGAAGGGAGGTGGTCCTCCCTCACTTCTGTGCCTGCCTCGTCTTTCACAGACCAGGCAGCAGAGGTCGGAGAGCCCTGGCTTCAACTCCAAGTGGAGCCCCTTATTTCAGCGTGACTTTGGACAATTTACATCCACAAGCCTTTTCTCTTGTATTGTAAACTGGAAACAATTTTCAAAAGCTGCCTAAGGGAGTTGTTGCCTTGAGGGTAAAGAGGTCAAACATGGGGAGTAGTTAGAGGAGGAGCTAGCGCACAGCAAGTGATCAACAAGTGGGGGCCAGTTAGTGTCTCTCAGAACAAGGACACAGCCCAGCAAGCTTTGGATCTGGAACACTCCCAACACCACGGACAATCGCCACCCCAGTGGCCAGCCTGCAACCTCTGACACCTTGAACTGCTCCTCCCTCAGTTTCTGAACCTCCAGCCCAGTCTTGGGCGCTCTCCTGAGACCTCCACCACCAGTGTGCCCTCCGCTCCACACTTACCTATTTAGCATATTGGACTGGTAGATTCTCTTCTCGTGGGTGTTGTAACAACTGCTCTTGGGCTCGGGGATGAAGCTGTGTTCGGACAGCATGTCGGAAGCGGCGGTGGTGATGATGGCGATTCCATCCCTCACTCTGGCAGGGAGGCCGTAGTCCCATTCATCGTAGGACACAGAGATCAGCCCGGTGGGGAACTCCGAGGGCACTGTGTCTGTATCCCCGGCCACCAGACTAGGCACAATCCACGTGTAGCCGTAGCCAGTCAGCCCGACCGAGTTAGCCACTTCAAAGATGTAGGTGGCTTCCTCCTTAGTGCAATAAAGAAGAATGATGGGGCTTTGAAGTTTCTTGAGCTGGTTCTGGATCTTAGAATCTCCATCATCCAGGGACATGTCCAGCAGGAGGACTTCCTCTAACTCCCAGCCCACGAAGCTGTTCTCGATGGTGCTGCGAATCTTGTTTACAAAGTCCTGGTAGCCAGGGAAGTAGGTGGTGACGATGGAGAAGATGTACCAGTCATACTCCTCCATGATGTTGAGCATCACAGAGGCTTGCTGTTCAATCGATGGGCCAAACTGGAAGAACATGGAGGATTCATCCTGGAGGAGTAAAGATGTGAAAAAAGAGAGAGAAAAATCAAAACAAAGATGGTGAGGGGAGAGTTCGAACCAGTTATATACAAGGATTTGTGTTCATTATTTACTTTTCCCATATAATGCCTTTAAAATTGGTTATGTTTGACACAATTAATAGCACATTGAGTTTCCTCTCTCTCTTCCACTCTGATAATGAGATATGAAGTTAGAGAAAGGCACAAACAGGACCTAAGTTACAAGTTAGAGTGACGTGTATTCAAGGTCATACGTGATTAAGCTTTATTTTAGAACAACGCATAGAGGACTGATTGTTCCTTCTCTTACCTACGCGAGGCCATGGGTCTCCATCTGACCTGTGCATGACACACAACTCTCTGTCAATTCTAAACATCTTATGTTTTCTCCCGCCTTTCGAGGGAGAAGTCATTTTAGATTTCTCCCACTTTTGGTTGTATTTCACCTGCTGCTCTAAGATGTCAAGCCCTGCATTTTATCTCCACCTTGCAGCTAGAAGAACGCGAAACCACAAGTGAAGACTCTCTCAGCCTTGTCCTTCTCTCTCAGTCCATTTTCCCCCGACTTCCTCCTGGGTAATGGCATCTCTTTGCTGGGTTAGTGGCCCCTGTCTTCTTACCTGATGGTTCATCTCCATTTTATAACAATCCAGGCTAACAAAATTGTGTTTTTCTCAAAGGGGTGGTTCTTTTTTATCCCCAAAACCAGAGCTTCAAAGTACAGTTACAAGAGATCAGGCTTTTAAACAAAATTACATGGCGAATTCTTAGTTCAGGAACATATTGTTGTACAGCTGAGAAATTGCTGAGCATTTTTTGGGCACCCACTATTGAAAAAAAAATACAGGCTAGAAAATATCCAGCTGGTGTCCAAAGACCCTGATTCGGCAATAAAGCTGCCAGCCCCTGGGCTCTGCCAGAGCCGTGTCTGCTTCGTGTGGCCTGAGCGCTTCACATTTCCCACAGGTGGTCCAGTACTGAACAGCTGATGCTCAGTCATTCGGGGGCAGTTCTTCCTGCTAAGGGTAAAGTGGTGCTTATAATGGCTCCCTCCCCTGGCTTAAACATACAGTCAAAGAGGAGCCTCACAGGACCATGAAGTTCAGAGAAGCAGAGGGGGTGGGGCATGGGAAATGGGTGGGGAGGGCACGGGAATTAATTCAGGATAAAATGATGACTTCATATGTGTTCATTCCAACGGTAGCCAGCCCCTGCTCCTGGTCTTCTCTCATTTCAACACAAATATGTACTGCTCTTCAGGTGAAGCTGACCTTGTCCTTACGTTTGTATGATACAGAGGGAATCCAGGACAACAAAGCTGAATTATTACAGGATTTGTCAGGGGCCCACAGAGAACCACAACAACAGAAAAGGAAGGCTAGTGACAAAACAACTCACTCAGAATGGTTATCACTTTAAAGCAATGGCCATTTGTTTTCCTTGCTACTTCCAGCTAAATTAGAGAATTTGGGGATTCTCAAATGAGATGAACTATCACTTGAGTTTTCATAAGCCCAGCGCATATAACAAAGTGACAAAGGCTTCCAAATGTGCCTTAAAATGCACAGGCTTAGGATGAAAGGGATCTCAACTGTAAACAAAGTAAGTCTGCCCACTCGCTGATAAATGAACATACTTTATCACAAGGAGGTTCTTGAATACCCACAAAGTTCCATTTACAGTGAAACCACAGCGTTTCAAATACAGATAGAGCTAGCCCTGAAGAAAACTCATGGAGGTCCACAGTAAGTGAGCCCATGCTAATGCAACTGGAGGTCCACAGTAAGTGAGCCCATGCTAATGCAACTGGATTTAGAAGAAAACCGATCTATTACACACCAGCCTGACCCTCTTCTCTTAGTCTTCTCTTAAAACTGTCTCACAATTATAACTGTGCTCCTAAAGAAATTGCCGGCTACTATGTGAAGAAAGCCAATGTACGGTGAAAGTAAGAAAAGAGAAAAATTAATATGGCTCCATCTTACCCTCACCGCATCCTCACTTTACCTCCTAATTCTATTGTCCTCCGTGATCAACCTTTTTCTAATTTCTTTGCTCCCACCGTGCCTAATTCAACTATTTTATCTTTCCAATCCTTCATTAAAAAAGGATGCTTTACATGACCATTTTATCTCTGGCACCAAGAGGAGGTTAATGAAACGAAACAGAAATCAGAAGACAGAGTTATAGCTTGGGCAAATGTTTCCTGGTATGATGAGTGGTCTAGTGTTATTAATTTAGTTGACACATCAATCTGGTATATAGCAATTGGGAATGGAACAACTCTTTTTCAACAAAGCTTTGGGCTACCTATAAGTTGTAAGCAGTGACAGGCTTTGCAAATTATGGTCACAGCCACAAACCAAAGAGCAATCTTCATGTGTGCATGGAGTGGAAAGGACTGGTGGCCACGCATCCATCTTTGCAGACACCTAGCATGCACTGTGATCAGCACAAGAAGTAGCATCTTCTAGGCTGAAGGACAGGGATGTAATTCAGTGTGCAGCTCACTGCACTTCCCCACTTACATTTTTATCTCCTTACTTCATTACAAAATGTTATGTGCTCAGGTCCTTGGAGCAGTCTCCTCCTCCTATGGAAGATTCCCAGTTAAATTTATTGCATGAATGTACTTCTTCAACTTGCCTTGAGAGCATCTTTAAGGTAGTCCTAGGTAAAGGGCTACCATGACTGACAGGTGCAGTTAGCACAGGGAAGGTACGATTGCACATTAGATCCATCAGTCTCAAATGTTACGTTGAACCCCATTATGTTGATGTTCATGGTGTTTACGTGCTAATAAGAAGAAACAAAAATAGGTACTTTTTTCATTCAATTAACTGTCTCAGGAAATAACTGCCTAAAGCATCATCATTACATGAGTTTCTTCTTAATCACTGAGATCGCCTACAGATCCACTTCAGACATAAAGGATTAACTACCCGAGATGCTGATGGGGCCCCTAGCAATTGGTTTCAGCTGTCAGCCCATTTTGGGGATTGTGTCAGCTAAAGAGAACCACTTCACCCAAGGTCATGTCCCCTTCCTGGGCTAAAGTGCACTGAATGACTGTTGTCATGGAGTCTAAAGACCCGGTCCTCTTGCCCTAATTCTGGGCAACTCTGAAGGATCAGTCTGTCTTCAGAACTTTCCACAGATTGACTTGAGCTTCCATCAAAACTGCATCACACCCGTGCTCCCCTCTTTGCCCGCTCCTGCCCAATTTTCCCTTCCTTTCACTGTGCTGATCTCAAGAGCATCCCCTCATAAACCTCCTGTACACTACTCAGTCTCAGACTCAGCTTCTCAGGGAACACAGCTCCACACTTTATCCATTTTCCTGTTTTCAACACGGAAAAGAGATGGGCTTAAAACAAAATGTGGTTTCTATTTTCAGATACAGAAATGACTAATATCGTAGAAAGATAAGTCTTTGCCCATTAGCTCCAGAGGAGAAAACTGGGACCAATGGGCAGAAATACTAAAAGCCACTGTTTGGTTCAATATAAGAAATATATTTGCAATAATTATAGCTGTTTAAAATGAAATGGCCCTCATAAGATGGTGAGATCTCTGTTGCTATGCACATTCAAAAAGGAGCTGGACTATCATGGGATAAAGGGATTCTCCTCAGTGCTCCATCTAGAAAATGTCATGCTCATCTTTCAGACCTTGTTCAAAAGTCAGCTTTTTAATGCATATCGTCTTTTCTAACTTCCTCAGGTCAAGTTAGTTCTCTTTCCCCTGTGTTTTATAGTATTTTATAAATGCCCCTATCACAACATTTATTTGATAAAAATTTTTATTGAAGTATAGTTGATGTATAAGATTATCTACAGGTGTACAATACAGTGATTCACATTTTTTAAAGGTTACATTCCATTTATAGTTATTATACAATATTGGCTGTATTCCCCATGTTGCACAATATATCCTTATAGCTTATTTTATACATAATAGTTTGTACCTCTTAGTCCTCTACCCCAATCTTGTTCTTTCCCTCTTCCCTCTCCCTGCTGGTAACCACCAGTTTATTCCCTACATCTGTGAGTCTGCTTCATTTTTGTTATACTCACTAGTTTGTTGTATTTTTTTAGATTTCACATATAAATATTGTCTTTCTCTGTCTGACATATTTCACTTAGCATAACATCATCCAAGTCCATCCATGTTGCCACAAATGTCAATTCTTCATTCTTTTTATGGCTGAGTAGTATTCCATTGTGTGTGTGTGCGTGCATGCATGTGTGTATACCACATCTTCTTTATCCATTCATCTGTTGATGGGCACTTAGGATGCTTCCATATCTTGGCAATTGTAAATAACACTGCTGTGAATATTGGGGTGTATGCATCTTTCTGAATTAGTGTTCTTGTTCTTTTTGAATATATACCCAGGAGTGGAATGGATGGCTTAGATAGTAGCTCTACTTTTAGTTTTTTGAGAAATCTCCATACTGTTTTCCATCATCGCTGCACCACTTTACATTCCCACCAACAGTGTATGAGGTTCCCTTTTCTCACAGGAAGCCTATATGCCTGCCTCATCCCATTAGAAAAATATGTTTCTCAAGATCAGGAACTGTACCTTATTCATATCTGGATCTCTAGGTAGCACAGGAAAAAAATGCTTAAATGTTTGTTGTATAATATTATAAAGAAGACTCCTTTATTCAGTGGGAGAATAATTAAAATGACCTTGATTGCCTCAGCTGGTCCAAATTTCTATGCTGATGGCACATATCTACTGCACAGAAATAAGGAATGCCCGAAGAGTTGTGCACTTTAACAAAATTTGAGGGGCTCCACCCTCCAGCCAGGCAGAGGCAGCAAGTGTACCAGCCACTTCTCCACTCCTCTCTGCAGCAAATTCCTTGAAAGCATCATCTGTGGCTTACTTCTTCCAACTCTGCTTCTCCCATTCTCTCTTACACTAACTCCAGTCAGATTTTCCAACCTAGCACCCCACTAAAAGTCTTCTTGTGAGAG